AACTGTGATTAACTAAAGTGATTTGAACACAGGGATTTCAAGTCACTTCAAAAGAATTCAGAGACTAGAATAGGAAAAAGAAGGAATAGAGGTATTGGCCGTCCACCCTATGGAAAACGTAAAGGAAAAGCACAATAAACTCCATTAAAAGTGAATCACAAAGAGAACAAAATTGAAGTTCAGAACTATGTGCTGAAGTCAGCAAAACAGAGCCTTACAGAGGCTTGAGAAATTCCTAACTATGATCAGTAGAATAAATAGAGATGTTCTAAAATTTTGTTCATATGTTAAGTATCCAAAATAATCTGTATGTAATCTAGAGGGTTACATGCCAAACTGTCATTACCTTTCAAGAGTGTGAATGGGGAAAACAGATGACTTTTTATTTTGTACAGAAGTTATCGTAAAAGATAAAATAAAAATAAGAATGTATTACTTCTGCAACAAAACACAGTATTTCTATGGGACTCTGGTTGGACCCCTACAAGAATCAACAAGGCCAGCTCATAAAAGCAGCCCGGTAACACATGGAAGAATCACACACACACACACACACACACACACACACACACACACACACACACACACTTGCTAAAATTTAGGGTAACCATACAGTTTATTGTAAAACCAGGAAATACTTCACTCAGGAGGCTGAGGCAGGTGTATTGCCTTGTGCCCAAGGCCAGCATGGGCAACACAGTGAGCTCAAGGCCAATATTGGGAGACTTTGTCTTGAAAAAAAATAAATAAATAAATAAAATAAGAAGGGGGACATTCTGGACAGTGAAGGAAGGGAAGACTATTAATAGCTGAACTGGGAAATATTAATTGGGATTCTTCTGGGCAAACTGGGAGGTACCTATGTGTTTTAGTAGTTCATCAACTTTAAGGTAGAAAAGAGCCTAAAGTTTTCTACCAAGCAAGGGTTGATAAAGAAAATAGCAGTATCTTATTATTGCTTATTTAGTATGTCATCTTAAAAATCTTACTTTAGAGATGAAAGTAATATTTGGGGCTTGCATAGCTTTCCCTGAACTTGGTTCTTTTTTCTTATATTTCCTGAGTTTCCCTTTGCCCACACTAAAAGAATGATTTTTAGATTACTCAATCAGGTATTTTCTTTATACAGAAGTTTAAAGAAATATAACATTCACGGTAGAAAAAATAAAAATGAGTTTACAAAGCACTTTAACAAACCCTAAGCTATTTAATTTGTCTTACAAACACTCTCCTGTGGGTAGGAAAGGCATTACCGTCCAACATTTCACAGACAAAAACACTAAGGCTAAGAATGGTAAGGCCCAAAGTCAAACAGGTATGCACAGCTATTTAGACGAAAAAGCCTCATCTGAAGCTCTAATGAAATCATCCCACAATACCACGGGGTGCCGCAGACTATTTTCCTTTAGCCTGTCCTTCAGTGACATACACATACAAAGGTTTATTTTAGTGGTACTTACCATTTCAAGAAAGCATAATATAAAAAATTCTGATGTCCTTAATAGAAAAGTAAGCATGTATCTGCATTACAAAGAATTCCACTTTAGAGGGGAGAACCACAATAGATTTATAATCAAAAACATGCATTCTTTTCCTCTTTCAAAAAAGTTTTAAAAAGTTTCTATTCTTTGAGACAGGGCCTCACTATGTACTTCATGCTGGCCTTGAACTCAGTGTCTCCCAGAGTGGCCTCAAATTCGCAATCCTCCTGCCTCAGCCTTCTGAGTGCTGGGATTATAGGCATGTGGCATCAAACCTAGCTTCCAGTAAAAGTCTGACTAAGGCTGGGGATTGTAGCTCGGTGGTAGAAGACTTGCCTAGCATGTATGAAGGCAAAGGTTTGAGCCTCAGCACGAGATAAAATAAAAGTATGATAACTGAAGAAAATGTGATTTATCAGGGCCGGGGATTTAGCTCAGTTGGTTCCACCTCCTGCCTTGAAAGTGCAAGGTCCCGAGTTCGATCCCCAGTACCAAAAACAATGTGATTTATCTACCATTTCCAGGAATACATTCATCTTACAAAGTTAAATTATATAAATGATTATTTCCTTACTATCTCACTGTATTCATATAGTATATGTGCTGCCGAAGTGTGCACCTCATTGGAGTCATATAAAAGCCCCACAAAACAGGCAACTTTAGGAACAAGAAATCTAAACAGAAAAATTCAGTGACCTACAAGTCTCACTGATAATAAGTGACTGAGCGGTAACTAGAAACTGCTGGAGTTTTCTTATCACTCAAAGGCCAGAATTCAGCCTGACTCTGCTAATGAATGTATAATCAAAGGTTGGGAGTACAGCTCAGTGACAAAGCAAGCATGTCCTTAGCATGGGCAAGGACCTGGGTCTAATACCCAGCACCACAAAAATAAAAATAAATAAACGTGGTCATACTTTCAGAAAAAGAGATATATTACTTGTTCCTACCTAACTTTAGAACTTTAAGCATTCCAATCAGTATCTCGTTAAAATGAGACTCTAAAAGATATACCCAAAACAAAGGTGAGGCAGACAAAAAACTAAAAACTTTGAACAAAAACACATGAAGGGGAAAGGGTGGGGTGTGCCTCAAGGAAACATTTCCCATCCTATCCCTTAAACCCCAGTCAATAAAAACAAGTCTCACACACACACACACACGCCACAAAGGTATCACAGTTTCTTACTTTAAATCATCCAAGAATAAGGCACTATTCTTCCAAAGAACAAAACCCAGAAGGTGCCCAACAAATTCAAACTCTGCAACTGTCTGGTTTTAATGAGGAGACTTTAAATTGATCCCTTCCCTTAAAAGGTATAAGATTTGCATACAGACACTGAGTATTTTAGGCAAAAAGAGGCATACGTTTCATACTTTGGGAAAACAAGCAAGAGAAAGTTAAGCACTAAAATGTTCATACTCTCGGGCTAGAGATGTAACTCAGTGGCTGAGTACCTTGCCCAGCATATATGAGGCCCTGGAGTTGATCCCCAAGACAGTTCACAATGTCATTTAGTTTCTTACTTTTGAAACTATAAGGAAACAAAAGACTAAAATAGCTACTGTTACTAACTTATCATAGAGGTTTTCATATACGTATTCAACAAAAATTTACTGTATGTAGGTCAGACACTATTCTAAACACTGGAGACATAGTAATCATCGCGAGAAAAATCTCAATCTTATAGCACTTATATTCCAGTAAGAGACATGTACAACACACAAACAAATATACAGTATGTCAGGGCCCGGGATTTAGCTCAGTGGTGCTGCCAAGGTCCCGAGTTCCCAATGTCCCGAGTTTGACCCCCAGTACCAAAAAACAAAACAAACAAACAAACAAACAAACGAAAAGTTAATGGAAACTAAGGGCGGCTGCAGCCTCTGCAGAAAGACAAAAGCAAAGAAACCAAACTCGAGAGGATCCCAGGTAGTGTGATTATAAGAATCAAAAGAATCAAGAACCGCACACTTAAAAAAAAGAAACAAACAAACAAACAAACATACAGTATGTCAAAGGGACATAAGAAAAGGTCAACTACAAAACAGATGATAAGACAGGACAGAATACTGGGTGCCAACTCATATAGGGTAGTCATACACAGGGTGAGCTGACATTTGAACAGAGGTCCAAAAAAGTGCAGGAGCAAGCCACAGAGCTATACAGAAAGGAAGAATGTTCCAGAGAGAAGGGACAAAAAGAACAACTGTTTAAGTCAGAGATGCATCTGAGCCATCCAGGTAGGAACATCAAAGAGATGACCAGAATTATCTGGTGTCAAGAGAGAGGTGACACATGAGCCATGTTTAAATACAATTTGGTATTTAAAGCTAAGGTCAGTTGAGACCACTAGAAAGTAAGTGAACAGAGAGAAAGAAGATAAAAAGAGAAAAAACTAAGGATCGAGCCCCGGGGTCATATAATTAGAGACTGAGATGAGAAGGGGCTACTAATAGAGACTAAGAGCAGTCAATGAGGGAAGAAGACAAGAGAGTGCTGTCCCAGATATGATATGAAAAAAAGTATTTCAGGAAAGAAGTGATCAACCACATTAAATTCTGTTGAAGGTTAATTAAGAAGGCTACTATCTAACTAGTTATCAATGTGGATACAGCACACTATTTAAAAATAAAAGGAATTTTTTGAAGCAACAAATTCTTTGGCATGAGAACCTACTGCCCCATGCTTGAATTTAGACCCAGCTATGTAAGTTGCTTTGGCCAACAGGACTTTAACAAACAGACAAAAGTGCAGGCTTGCAAAGTGTTTGTGCTCTGGGTTTTCACCTCTCTTTTGCTACTAGGAACTCATCCACTGTTATGTATAATAAAGACACTAGAATTGAAACAAATGGCCATTACTCATGTGATATCAAGCCACTGACACTAATGAGGTCATCCTTGCCAGGAGGGCCAGCCAGAACCAATCCACAGAATTATGAACAAATAAAATGAATTTTGCTCTAAGCCACTAAGTTTTAGGGTGGTTGTTATGAAGCAAAAGTTAACTGACAAAGAAGAAAATATGGTAACAGTTAAGAGCTGTTTCAATAATATAGGAGGCAAGGAATCTGACTGGAGTTCAATTAAAAATGATTGGATGCAAAGAATGGAACATAAGGTTTAGGCTGACATCAGCTGAGTTTTTGAGGCTTCTCTGTTACGCTGTTCACTAGAAGTTCCCTACACTCTCCCAAAGCCCCTATAATAAATAGGTAGGGTAGCACAGTGGCAAAGGCCTTCTGCTGAAGCACTTCTGCTGGTGATCTAGTTATCCCCAATCCAAGCCCACCTCCTCACATGAGGTACAGAGGATAGAAGGTTGGGGAACTACTCTGCACCTCTCCTTACAGGCCACTTACTCACCCACTCCTGAGAAGGCTTGCCCGATGTGCTTTATTTCTCATCTTTCAAGTAAATTCTTTATCTGAACAACATCTGTAATCACGTTCAAAAGTGTGTGTAAAAATTTGAAAAACAGCTTTTTAAAATGTTAATAATATGTAAATAACTTACTTGGCAATCCGCAGTTTCCCAACTTCACCTCTCCCAGGGGCTTTAGCCCATTGCTGTGACAAATATTTAGGAACCTAAAACAAAGTAAAACATTTTTCAGATGATGAATATGAGTACCCAGGGATTATACAACTTATGCAATATAATTAGTAAATAATAGAGTCATAATTCAAATCCTGACAGTCTAGCTCCAATGTCCATTTTCTTACCCAATGTATTACATTTTATCTGCAACAGGATACGTGCTATCAGATAGGTTTTAATTTTAAAAAAGAAAAATGGAATAATATATGTTGAATCTTACTTCGCATCTTCTGAGTAGTGTGGACTCTGTAATCAGTATATACCATTAAGGTTATTCTATTATGAGGAATAAATGAGATACTTTACATAAAGTATGAAGCATATACCTTATGTAAAGATAGTACTCAATGAGTGTTAGTTGTCACTGCTATTTCTCTTGGTAATCTTGGAATGATAATATGAATATGTATGCCTGAGTCAGAGGCCATTGTGAAATCTAGGAAGGAAAAAAAAATCTATGTAGCAAGACTTCATTTGGGGGGGAAAAAATCCTGACTATTAGCCAAATAAATTGCAGTATGCCAAATACAGTAAGAATAAGAAACAGAAGGTATTTGTTCAATTATGCATACATCCCTCACACTAAAATTTACTGAACTACTGCTAGGTTTCAGACAATATGCTAGAGGTTGGGAAAGAAGGGGAAGGGAGCCAACAGTGTCAGATACCATGCTAGACATTATACATCCACTAACCCATTTGATCCTTCCAATCACCCTGCAAGTTTGCTATCATTCTCTTCATTCTATACATGAAAAAACTGAATCTGAGAGGTTTTGTTGTTGTTGTTGTTTTGTTTTTGAGATAGGGTCTCACTATGTAGTCTATGCTGGCCTTGAAGTAGTTATGGAGCCCAGGCTGGCCTTGAACTCACAGAGATTCTCCTGCCTCAGCCTTGAATCGGGGAGGTTTGAAACAAATTAGCTAGTATTGGATATAATATTTGACTCTAGGTCTGAGGTTCTTTACTGCCTTACACTGTCCTTCATAAGGGTACATATGCTTAAAAAAAAAAAGATTATGTAAAAGGTCTAAGGGAAAGATTTAACATGTTAACAATATTTCAACTATACACTTCTTCACTCAAACAAGCTTAGAGGATTTGGCAAACTATATCTATCCATTAGATCTCCTTTGATTTTAGATGACAGAAAACCTGCTGAAACACCAAGAGGATTGGGCCTGGGATTTAGCTCAGTGGTTCCACCGCCTGCCTTGCGAGCGCAAGGACCCAAGTTTGATCCCCGGTACCAAAAAAAAACCACAAAAAACATAGAGGATTGACTGACCCAAGTAACTAAAAATTCCAGAGGTAGCTTTAAGGTATCTTACGAGCTCAAATGATGTCACCAGGACTTTCACCATCTCTTATCTCTTCTGTGCCCCATACTTACACAATTCTTAAATAGGCCTCCCCCTTGAAGAGCAAGATGGTTAAAGCAGCTCCTATACAGCAAGTCTCCTTCCCAAAAGTCTCTAGTCCAAATGTGCTTCTTGTGGTATTTGGTCATATCATTGGACCTATCATTGTACTCAGAGATGAGATACTTTCAGTGGCCATCTTTGGAGAAGGGTAGTCAACACTATTAGAATCATACAGACTAAAAACAGGAAATTTACATTTTCCATAAGTAAAATCAAGGAGCTGTTCCAATCTTAGGAGTAGCAAATACTGATTAGTCAAAGAAGTAATAAATGGTGCTGGGCAACTTGGAGTCCTTATGTAGAAAAATGAAGATAGATATCCTTCACACCAATTACAAAAGTTACTCAAAAGAGGTTAAAGACTTACAGGTAAAACCAAAAACAATGAAACTGTTTGCCAAGTAGTTAGACATTCGCAGGCCTGAGGGACAAAAGGGTTCCAAAATAGTATGTTTTCTTTGCCAATAGTTAAATGAAGAAAAGAAGATCTCAGTATATAACACATTTATAATCATGTGCAAAAGACACAGGGCCTCTATTTCTAGAACATGGTATACAATGCTCCTGGTTGTTGTAGCCTACTGGCTCAGTATCAGAAAGGGGCACATTCTTTAAAGTCCCTTCCTGCCTTGGGCTGAAACCTGATTTAGATGAGAACTTTTTCCTTAGTAAATTTCATTTATAAGTTTCTTATAAGATTAAGACAAGAAGTCATTCTGCAACAGTAACATTATCCAAATTCCTACTCAGTACAGATACCTATATGGCACTCCTCATCTTTTCACTGCAAGGCATAATTCTATCTATATTTGCTTTACAATAAACTCTGCCTATAGTTCTGCACAGCTGCCTATATATGTTGTCTGAATTCTTTCACTGAAGACATCAAGAACTGAGGAACAAGGGCTAGTTCCTTGTGGTATCAGGACTAGGCTTCCTGGTGACAAAACCACTAGAAGAAAACATAGGAGAAGTGCTGCAGGACATTGGAGTGGACAAGGATTTTTTTTTTCAGACAAGACTACCAAAGCACAGGAAATAAAAGCAAACACGGGCAAATAGAATTACATTAAAATAAAAAGCTGCTGTACAGCTAAGGAAACAACAGAGTGAAGAAAGCCTCAGGGTGGGAGAAAATATCTGCAAACTACACATGTAAAAAAGAGTTAATATCCAGACTATATAAAGGCCTCAGGGCAGGGATTTCGCTCAGTTATTCTGCCATCTGCCCCACAAGCCCAAGGTACAGATCCCTGGGAAGGAAGGAAGGAAGGAAGGAAGGAAGGAAGGAAGGGGCGGGGGGGCGAGGAAGGATGGATCTCAAAAAACTCAACAGCAAAACAAAACAAAAAATAATTTAAAAATTGGCAAAAGGGCTAAATATATAGATATTTCTCAAAAGAAGACATATATATGTCTTCAGGTATATGAAAAATGTATGAAACAGGTATATTAAAAAATGCTCTACATTAATAATTATCAGGGAATGCAAATCAAAACTACAGTGAGGTATCATCTTACTCTAGTAAGAATGGCTATCATCAAAAGACAAACGATAACAAAGGTTGGAGGATGTGGAGAAAAGGGAACCTTTGTATATTGCTGATATGAATATAAATTAGTACAGTCATTATGGAAACGGTATATGGAGGTTTCTCAAAAAATTAAAAATAAACTACATATGATCCAGCAAATCCCTGTCCTGGGTATACACCCAAGGAAATTGTTGGGAGCAATTCTACATAATTTTGGGGAAAAATCATTTCACAATTAAATTATGATTAGGCCTAGTTTTCCTGCCTACTGGCCAGCTATTACTTACCAACACATAACTCCATTGTTGCCTCTGGGCACAGCTAAAACCTCATTGGTCTGGCAGGATTACATCAGCTGAAGACATCTTGGGGAGGAACAGATTCCTAATCAACATAAATTCTTCATGAACTGGGATCTTCATTTGCAAAAATTCCTCATTGTTCTAGGATTATCTCTGCACCCCTCTGAGACATCTGTTACTCCCAAAGTACTGAATAAAGGTGTGGGAAGCTCGGGATCTTTTGTCTTTGCTGCCCAGAGCAGCACTGATCATCCCCAAACCTCAGTTTCTTCTCTAAGTCTCATTTTCCTGTCTTTTATCAATTAATTTGCCTCGTGCTGTCACGGCTCACAGGAGACTAGGACTCACTTGCAGGGGTTCTAGTAAAGTCCCCTTTCCCTATCCCCTACAGGAAATGAAATCAGTATCTGCACTCCCATGTTAACTGAGCACTATTCACAATAGCCAAGAAATGGATAAAACTTAAAAGGCCATCAACTGATGAACAGATCAAAAAAATGTGGTACCTATATACAGTTCAACACTATTCACCTATAACAAAAAAAGGTAATCCTGTCATTTGTGACAATATGGTTATAACAAGATTATGTTAGGTGAACTAAACAAGGAACAGAAAGACAAATACTGCATGAACTCATTTAGGTATGGAATATTAAAAAAAAGTTGATCTCACAGAAATTGAGAGTAGAATAGTGTTTACCAGAGACTGCAAAGGTTAGGAGGAAAGGTTAAAAATGAGGAAAGAATGATCAATGGTACTAAACTGAAGTTAGGAGTGAAAAGTTCTAGTGTACTATCGTATGGTAGGTTGACTATAGATACTATATACCACATACCACAAAAAAAGAAAAACTTGAGGAAAGGATTTTGAATATTTTTGCCATAAATAGGTGATAATATATGGTTTCTCATTAATGTGTACAATTTCTATGTCTGTATCATTTAAAATTTTTAATTAAAAAAGAAATATAACCTCGCTGAGAAATTTTTTTTAAAAAGCAACAGCAAATGTTCACAACTAAGTATATGAAATGTACAAATACTATTGCAACATCAAATGAAATCTGTGAATCCTTGGACCATATAAACTATTACCTTATGATCCCAATCTTGAAATATTACCTAACATGTTAGCCTTTGCTCCCTACTTTGTCTTTGATTTTTAACTCCAGGGAAATTACATGTCAATTACTCCAAATAAAAAAACTATTTTCTACAGATAGCAGTCTACTCTTACCAATCAATCACAAGTGCAATTCCCTAATAAAGTGACCAGGGAAAAGATGGTATCTTTCCTTCATTATATTCCTAGTTGATGGTTCAAGTGAACCTATTTCCAGATACTCTAAGATGTTCTCATTATTGCTAACAGTATCCCTCCCATCAACTGCATTCCAAGCAACCATTCTGACTACCATCTCCTAAATCCCAGTTCTCAGATGTGAGGGCGATCTGGCTGCGACATCTGTCACCCCACTGATCGCCAGGGTTGATTCGGCTGATCTGGCTGGCTAGGCGGGTGTCCCCTTCCTCCCTCACCGCTCCATGTGTGTCCCTCCCGAAGCTGCACGCTCCTTCGAAGAGGACAACCACCCCCCATAGAGGAGGACCGTTTCCTCGCTCAAGGGTATACGAGTAGCTGCGCTCCCCTGCTAGAACCTCCAAACAAGCTCTAAATCCCAGTTCTCTCCTCAGTACTTCAGTTCCAATTATGTCTATCCTTTCAAT